CCTTCTTTGCCTCCATAGATTTTTTTGTCTCCACATATACCTCAATGCACCACTCGCTTTTTTTCCTTCATCAATTCTATGGTTAACCTCATCCTTCATACATCCATCCACTGACACTTCAACTCCCAAATATCTGGAAACATTTACTTCTTCCATACTCCTTCTCCTCTAATTTGATATCCAATTTTTCTTTATCTAAATCATTTGATACCCTCTTCACCTTACTCTTTTCTATGTTCACTTTCAACTTTCTACCTTTACACACACTTCCAAACTCATCCACTACCTTTGCAACTTTTCTTTAGAATCTCCCATAAGCACAATATCATCAGCAAAAAGTAACTGTGTCATATCCCATTTTGTATTTGATTCCCCATAAATTAATCCCACCCCTCTCCCCAACACCCTAGCATTTACTTCTTTTACAACCCCATCTATAAATATATTAAACAACCATGGTGACATTACACATCCCTGTCTAAGACCCACCTTTACCGGGAAGTAGTCTCTCTCTCTTCTACACACCCTAACCTGAGCCTCACTATCCTCATAAAAAAACTTTACAGCATTTAGTAACTTAGTACCTTGCAACATCTTCCACATTGCTTCCCTATCCACTCTATCATATGGCTTTTCTAAATCCATAAATGCAATGAAAACTTCCCTACCTTTATCTAAATACTGTTCACATATATGCTTCAATGTAAACACTTGAACTACACATCCCCTACCCACTCTAAAACCTCCTTGCTCATCCGCAATCCTACATTCTGTGTTGCCTCTAATTCTTTAAATAATAACCCTAACATACACTTTTCCTGGTATACTCAGTAAACTTTTTCCTCTATAATTTTTTATGATCTCTCTTGTCCTCCTTCCCTTTATATAAAGGAATTATAAATGCTCTCTTCCAATCCCTAGGTACCTTCCCCTCTTTCATACATTTATTAAAGAAAAATACCAACCACTCCAACACCATATCCACCCCTGCTTTTAATATTTCTGTCATGATCCCGTCGGTTCCAGCTGCTTTACCCCCTTTCATTCTATGTAATGCCTCATGCACCTCCCGCACACTCACATCCTGCTCTTCTTCACTCCTAAAAGATAGTATACTTCCCTGTCCAGTGCATGAAATTAACGCCTCCCTTTCTTCGTTGACATTTGAAAGTTCCTCAAAATATTCCCGCCGTCTACCAGTATGTACCTCTATCTCCCCATCTACTAACTCCTCTACTCTGTTTTTAACTGACAGATCCATTCATTCCCTAGGCTTTCTTAACTTGTTTATCTCCAAAATTTTTTCTTATTTTCATCAAAATTTCTTGACAGTGCCTCTCCCACTCTATCATCTGTTCTCCTTTTACACTCACCACTCTCTTCATCTTTCTTTTACTCTCCATATACTCTGCTCTTCTTATAACACTTGTTTATTTTTATATTATATTTATATTTTTTTTATTAATGCATCAGCTGTTTCCCACCAAGTTAGGGTGGCCTGAAAGAGAAAAACTTTTATCATCATTCACTCTATCACTGTCTTGCCAGAGGCATGCCTACACCACAGTTATAAAACTGCAACATTAACACCCCTCCTTCAGAGTGCAGACACTGTACTTTCCATCTTCATTACTCAAGTCCAGCCTGCTGGTTCCCTGAATCCCTTCATAAATGTTACCTGTCTTTCACTCCAACAGCACGTCAAGTCTTAAAAACCATTTGTCTCCATTTGCTCCTATCTAACACGCTCACGCACGCTTACTGGAAGTCCAAGCCCCTCACACACAATGCCTCCTTTACCCCCTCCCTCCAACCTTTCCTAGGCCGACCCCTACCCTGCCTTCCCTCCACTACAGATTTGTATACTCTCGATCTGATATATCTGTGGCCCCTCTATAAACATATACATTCTGAAGTCTACTCAACAGTCTTTTATCTACTTATGCATAGTCCAACAGACTACTGTCATTATGCCCTACATCATATCTTGTATACTTATTTATCCTCTTTTTCTTAAAATACGTATTACTTATAAATAAACCCCTTTCTATACAAAGTTCAATCAAAGGGCTCCCATTATCATTTACACTTGGCACCCCAAACTTATCTACCACACCCTCTCTAAATGTTTCTCCTACTTTAGCATTTAGGTCCCCTACCTCAATTACTCTCTCACTTCAAAGATTCCTATACATTCGCATAACATCTCCCAAAATCTCTCTCTCTCTCTCTCTCCTCTACACTTATCTCTTCTCCAGGTGCATACAAGCTTATTATGACCCACTTTTCACATCCGACCCTTATTTTAATCTACATAATCCTTGAATTTTCACATTTATATTCCCTCTTCTCCTTCCATAACTGGTCCTTCAACATTATGGCTACCCCTTTCTGAGCTCTAACTCTCAGATACTCCTGACTTAATTGCATTTATTTCTCCCCACTGAAACTCTCCTACCCCATTCAGCTTTGTGTCACTTAGAGCCAGGACATCCAACTTCTTTTCATTCATAAAATCAGCAATCATCTCTTTCTTATCATCCATGCACATTCAAGCATCCCAGTTTTATAAAAATTTTCTTCTCATTTTTAGTAAATGTGTACAAGAGAAGGGGTTACTAACCCATTGCTCCCGGCATTTTAGTCGCCTCATATGACATCCATAGCTTATGGAGGAAATATTCTTTTCCACTTTCCCATGGACAATAGAGAAAAAAAACAAGAACTATTAAGAAAAAGAAGAAAAACCCTAGTTGTGTGTATGTATATATATGCATGTGCGTGCCTATGTAGTGTGACCTAAGTGTAAGGAGAAGTAGCAAGATATACCTGTTATCCACGTGTTTATGAGACAGGAAAAACACACCAGCAGTCCTACCATCATGTAAAACAGTTAGAGGTTTGTTTCACAGTCACCTGGCAGGATGGTAGTACCTTCCTGGGTGGTTGCTGTCTACCAACCTATTACCTACATACCTGCTCTTAAAGCTACATATGGAGCCTGTCTGCACTTCCTCACCAAAATCATTCCACTTCCCTACTGATCTGAGAATGAAGAAATACTTCTTAACATCTCAGTGGCTCAACTGTGACTAACTTCTTTGGTGTCTCCAAGTTCCTGTTCCTTGCCTCAGACAGCCTACTCCTATCAACTATATCAGTTCCCTTGAATAGTTTGTATATTGTTAGCATGTCCTCCCTGGTTTTGTCCTTTATTGTCATTAAGCCCTATTCTATTAGACTCTCCATGTAGCTCGTGTCCCTTAGCTCAGGAACAAGTCTCGTTGCGTACTTCGGCACTTCCTCCAGTGTAACTTACTTTTCGAAGTGTGGGCTGCATATCAGTGCTGCATACTCAGAGATGGGCTTGGCTTTGTTCTTGGTAACAAAGCATCACTAGTTAATAATCTTGAGGTTAATGATGAGCTTGGGGAAAGTGATTACAAATCACTTAGTTTCAATATATCATGGAATTACCCAGATAACTACAATCAAGTTTCTGTCCCAGATTTCTGCTTGGCCAACCCTTTTGGAGCCTTGCGTTTTCCTTGTTTGTTTTTATTCTCATGATTAGTTTTCCATCATCAGCAAACAGGGATACATCTAAATCAATCCCATCTGGAATGTCATTCACATTACTAATCCTAATATCGATTCTTGTGGAACTCTTCTAGTTACTCTTTCACATTCTGACTTCTCTTTCCTTACAGTCACTTTTTGCTTCTTTTTCGTAAAATACTCTTGATCTCCAAGAATATGTTCCCTGTTATTCATGTCGGAATC